CATCCAATCTCAATGATTCCTGCATCATGCTATTCTGTCGGATCAACTTCGATATACAGGGCCCTAGCGCCGAACATCTTGGCTAAGATTTAGGACCTCCATCTTAGAACTGCTGAAAAGATTCGTAGTAAGCTGCAATTGCGTTTTATCTCACGACGGACTTTTAATTCTTTTGTGTGTGTTGTAAGTAAAGCGTAGTTCATTATTGCATGATCTGGTTCCCGTTGTCACGTCGCGTGAGATTTTGTTCTGCGTTTTTTATGCGTTTTTGTTGTGAACAAAAACCTCCTATTTTAAATTTATCGCTCATACTCACCTAGATCTCGTGCACACTTCCCTAAAAAGTATGCATATTCCTTCGGCGGGAAACGATTTCAGGAACCAGATAAGACAGAAAGCTGTAACTTTACAGGGATGATCTTTGTGCATATCAAGTTGAGTATTTTAAATTCAGCTGCCGTACATTTTTATGCGTTTTTTTGCAGCAATGCAATGCGAAAAACGCATATCAACGAGAGGTTGTCTGTGTGTGTGTGTTTGTGTGTGTGTGTCTGTGTGTGCGCTGGGCCTCTGTACCGATTTTTCATCTCAAGACCGGCAAAAGCTACAGGGCTGAAAAACTTTGGGGACATTATCTACATGCACGTACGGGCCCCTATCCCCAAAATGGGCGGTCTTTCCCGCGTGGTACCCCCGTAACACCCCGCCAAAGTTTTTTACGGGTAAGCTGATAACTTGCGAACCAGAAAAGCTAGAGAGCTGAAGTTTTATGGGGATGTTTTCCCGTCCAAGTAGGTACTAATGAGCTCAAATCCAGGTCCCCGGTAAGTGTGGCACCCGCGTACGAGCCCCCCAAAATTTTTCCCGCGTAAATTCATAACTCGGGGTTAAAGCTGAAATTTTAGGGTAATGTTCCCCGTCCAAGCAGGTGCTAATGAGCTCAAATTCAGCCCCCGGGTAAGCGTGGTACTGGGGTAATGTTCCCCGTCCAAGCAGATGCTAATGGGCTCAAATCCAGCCCCCGGGTAAGCGTGGTACCGCGCGCGAGCCCCCAAAAATTTTTCCCGCGTGAATTCGTAACTCGGGGTTCTGAGATGCTAGAAAGCTGAAATTTTAGGAAAATGTCCCCCGTCGATGCAGGTGCTAATGAGCTCAAATCCAGCCCCTGAGTAAGCGTGGTACCCGCGTACAGGCTCCCCAAAATTTTTCCAGCGTAAAGTAATAACTCGGGGTTCTGAGAAGCTAGAGAGCTGGAATCATAGGGTGGTGTTCCCTGTCTAAGTGGGTATTAACGAGTTCAAACCGTGCCCGCGGGTAAGCGTATTACTCACGTACAGGCCCGTGAAAATTTCCTTCCGGGTAAGTTAGTTACTCTAGAACTTGAGGAGCTAGAAGACTGGAATTTTGAGGGGATGTTTCCTGACAGTTCTTGCGGCCAGTCTGAAATCCTTTCAGCTAGAAGCATCTGCCGAAAAAACCGGTGCCGGTGGCGACAAAAACCTGCGGGGAACTCTGCAAAAAACGCATCTTCGCACGGGCAGCCCGTGCGTTGGCCTTAATTTAATCAGTGCTCCAAAGGACATATAAGTTATAGTGCCAAGATCACCTAGATCGTCCGGATAGTCGTTATTAAATAAGATAGACCCATATGCCAGCATATTTATATAGAAAACATGGAAGATTATTTGTCGAAAAGTGCTTTTTGTTCTTGCTTATTTTCTAATAATTTTTTAGTCACTCCGTTGCTTTGAGCACCTTCGGCTGGAGACGTTGGTGAGCCGAAGTTTCTTGCTTTGGCGACTCTCTTTGCTCCCTTTTTATTCCTTCTTTTTTTCTTCTCTGGCTTTTTCGTAACATCTCGGCGTGTGATGAAGAGCTTGTCAGTTACGTTGCTGCGCCAGAAAGCGAGCAGACAACCTGGGCATATTAGAAGGTATTGAACGGTAGGTGCATGAGAATGATGTGCCTTCGCATTGCATTGAGAGCGAGTACAGAGGGTGGGGGTTGACTTGTGACTTGATTTAGTAACAACTCCTTATCGGTGAAATATCTCAACGTCTTCTTGGACCAGTAGCGATGTTTAACGCATACCAGTGGCATTTTGAAGCACTAAAGAATTGCCGGCTGTTTTTGGAACGTTAAAGTGAGAATCCGTTTAGAGGACGAAACCAACGTCAGAATTGCCGACGGGCTGCCGTTCAGGCGTTGCGGCACTGCTTAAAGGCTTAAGGAACTACAGTTCATCAAAGTATCAAATTAAACGCAATTTTTTTTTTTGTTTTTTTAATTCACGAAAGTCGGAAAATGCAACAGTTTTACATGAATAAAAATGAACACTTTTTATTTACATTTTGCTTCCTTGATGCTTTGGCTTGGCGCAGTACCATACTATCTTCTTTCCTCCAAATAATTGTCACCAGACCACACCTTCTGTTCTTTCAGCTTCGT